AAATTAATTTTATTAAAATAATAATTTTATTGATATTAAAATTTTTTTTTGTCAAAATTTTTTTTAAATTTTCCATTTCTTTTCTTTTTTTTTTCCTTTTCCAGAATGATTATCCAGCTGTAGTAAAATTATTTTTAAAAATGCGACAAAATAATCGTGCAGTGTTGACAGCAATTGATTTAAATGGTTCTACATGTGCGCATATAGCTGCAGTAAAAGGATCATATGCAGTTGTAAAAGAATTAATGATGATTGATAAAGCTATGGTTATTCAAGTATATTTTATGTATTTTATTAAAATATAAATAATTAATTTCATTCTCAATAAGGACTGAATTAATCAATAATAGATGAAAAATATTGGAAATTATTAATATGTATGATAAGATCATTATTTTACGCTAATGGAAAAAGATAATTAAAACAAGAAAAGGAAAATTTTTATCATTTAATATATTAATGCTAATATATTTATCAATAAGTTAACATATTTTGGAGTTTTTTTTTTATATTATTAAAACAATAACAGAAATGAAATTTTTAATTTAATAAACTAACAATTTAAATTTGAAATTAAAAAACAAAAATAAAAAAAATTAAAGGCAAAAACAAAAACAATGGAAGCGACAGCATTACATATGGCAGCAGCTGGTGGACATGATAAAATTGTGAAATTTTTACTCGAAAATGGTGCTAATGCTGAGAATGAAAATGCTGTTAGTTTTTTAATTTTGTAAAATTTACATCTAATTATTACTTTATTATTAAGTTAAAATAAATTAACAAGTAATCAATATCGTATTTTTGATCATTAAAATAAATTATAATATCTTTTTTTTTCATTATAAACCATATGATTTAATTTAATTTCTACATTTTACTTTATTAATTAAGTTCATTTACTTTAATTATTTAGCATGGTATGACTGCACTTCATTTGGGTGCTAAAAATGGTTTCGTTCCAATTCTTAATGTTTTTGATCATTCATTGTGGAAAAAATGTTCAAAAAAGGTTTTCTAATATTATTTTTTTTTTTTTGGAAAAAAGTCTATTTAAGATAAAAAAAACAAAATTTAACTTTTAATCTTTAGTCTATATTGATCTATATCAAAAGTCCAAATTAACAAAAACATTTACATTTATCTATCCATCAATATTTCATTTATTTTAATAAATAAAAATACTTATTTGGGACAAAAAAAAACAAAATTTAACTTTTAATCTTTAATCTCCCTTTAATCTTTAGCCTATTGACTTATATCAAAAGGTTAAAATTAACAAAAGCATTTACATTTATCTATCCATCAATATTTCATCTATTTTAATAAATTTAGACTGGTTTAAATGCGCTTCATATAGCTGCATATTATGGCAATTCAGATTTTGTAATGGAAATGTTAAAACATGTACCAGCAAGTCTACGATCTGAACCACCAATTTATAATCATTATGTTGTTAAAGAATTTGCAACAGAAGTACGTAACCTTTGCGTAACCTTTAATTCATATTGTTTATTTTGTAAATGTACAGTACTTTAAAATGACTTTCTTTTTTTTTTAACTCATCGAAAAGTAGAATTAAATTGTAATTTTAATTTATTTCAAGTTGAATTTAACATATTAGCAAAATATTCAATAATATTCAATTTTAGTGCCAATAATATTTGATTTTAATTTTAATAATATTTAATTCTAATTTCAATAATATTCGTTTAATATTCAATTTTAAATTTTGTATCTTTTGCTTTTAATTAATTTGATTTAAATTATAGGAAGTATTGTTAATTTGTTGCTATAATGCATTTGAAAAACTTTATAAAAGTTTTATTTTTGCAATAAAATTTTTTTCTTTTTTTTAGTATGGATTTACACCCTTACATTTGGCAGCACAATCTGGACATGATTCATTGGTACGAATGTTATTAAATCAGGGAGTACAAGTGGACGCAACATCAACTACCATGGTTAGTTTGAATGAATCTGAATCTGAATCTGTTCCAATGAATTTGAATCTATTTGTAAATCCGTTTGTGAATCTGTTTGTGAATTTGTGGACTCGTTTTCAATAAATCTCTCTGTGAATCTGTTCTAATTTGTTTGTGAACCTGTTTAAATCTGCTTATGAATATGTTTCAATGAATCTGAATCTGTTTGTAAATCCTTTTGTGAATCTATTTCAATGAATCCAAGTCTGTTCGTGAATCTGTTTTAATGAATCTGAATCCGTTTGTAAATCTATTTGTGATTCTTTTTTAATGAATCTGATCTGTCTGTAAATCTGCTCGTGAATCCGTTTCGGTGAATCTGAATCTGTTTATAAATCTGTTTGTAAATCTGTTCCAGTGAATCTGAATCTGTTTGTGAATTTGTTTCAATGAATCTGTTTGTCCGTATTTTTTCCATCTTCCAATATAACTAACTATCCGCATTTTTAATTTTTTTGCAGTTTTTAAATGAATTCAAATTTCAATTTACAATGTGCCTCAAAATTTTCTTTTTCTTTTTGAAAAAAAAAAATTTTTTTTCTTCGAAAAAATTCTTTTATTTTCTTTTCTTTTCATTATTCATATCTTTTTTTTTTTCATATTTTTTTACATTTATTATTATATGTTATTGATTGTGATATTTTTCAGAGTGTTATACCACTTCATTTAGCAGCTCAACAAGGTCATATCGCGGTAGTCGGGATGCTTTTATCGCGATCAACCCAACAACAGCATGCAAAAGATTGGCGTGGACGAACACCATTACATTTAGCTGCAATGAATGGTCATTATGAAATGGTTTCATTACTTATTGCTCAAGGATCAAATATTAATGTTATGGATCAGGTTCATTTCAATATTTGGGAATCATTTAATCTTAATTTAATTTTAATTTATAAAAATTTAATTAGCATTGCATTCGAAAATTCTAGATTTAATCTTTTCTTTTTTTTGCGAATTTTTAATTTATATTTAAACTTAATTAAAATTAAAATAATATATGAATAAGGTAATTTAAGCTTGCATAATCTTTTATTTATCAAACCTAATACTTTAAAATTTAATTCTTTTTTTTCAAATTATTTTATTAAATTCTCAAAAGTATTAATTAAAAATTCAAATGTTTCGAGAATGGATGGACTGGAATGCATTATGCTACACAAGCAGGACATTTAAATGTTATCAAATTATTTGTAAAAAGTTCAGCTGATGCACAAGCAGAAACAAAGGAAGGAAAAGTAAGAATTGAATAATTTTTAAATTTTAGAAACATAAAAAATTAATAAATGAAATGATAATAAATTATAGTTTAATTTTAGGTACCATTATGTTTTGCTGCTGCACACAATCATGTTGATTGTTTACGTTTTTTATTGAAGCAAAATCATGATACGCATGCATTAATGGATGATCGAAAAGTAATTTATTAATTATAGTACAACAATTTAATTAATTTTTTAATAAAACTTTCTTAAAAGATTAAGATTAATTAATATTACAAATTTTGATTAATTAATTTTTTTTTTATAGTTCATTTTTGATTTAATGGTTTGTGGTAAAACGAATGATAATGAACCATTAAAAGAATTCATTTTACAAAGTCCAGCACCAATTGATACTGCTGTTAAGTTATCATCTTTATATCATGAAATGAGTGAAAAAGAAAAGGTTTGCAAGTTTTCTTTTTTTTAATTAATCAAATTTTCATTCGCTAAAATTTTAATAAATTGTAAAAAAAAATCAAAAACTGTTTTGAAAAATAACATTTCAATAGTAATTTTTCTTTTTAAAAAAAATTTTTTTAATAATTGGAAATTAACAGTAGTATTACACTGATAATAAGATATATAATCAATATTGATCAGTGATAATAATAGTAATTAAGGGCATCACAATGTTAACAAGACATACAATCATAAGGAAAGTGTAAAAAAAAACTTGATAATGATAATAAGGAAATATTAATAATGCAATGATAAGAGATGTTGATGAAATTAATAATGATAGTATTAATAAGCAATGATAAGAGATATTGAATAAATTGATAATGATAATAAGGAAAGTGGTAATATTAATAACACAATAATAAGAGATGTTGATGAAATTGATAATGATAATATTAATAATACAATGATAAGAAATATTGGATAAATTGATAATGACAATGAGAAAAGTGATAATATTAATAATGCAATGATAAGAAATGTTGAAGAAAAATTTCTCGAGAAATAATCCTACTGAATTTATTAAATCACAATTAAGAATTTAATAAATCAGAATTTGTAAATGAAAATCTAATAGACTGTGGTAATTTTTGTTGATCAATTTGAAATGTTAATATTTTGGGATAATTTCCATTGATTTTCCACTTTATTTCTTCACATTTAAATATTAGCATTCTTACGGTAGGAAATTTCGTTTATTTAAATATCTGATAGATTATTCTAATTTCCATTAATTTATTTCTTTACATTTACCTAAAGTCCGTTAATCTTTCATCACAAGTTCATCATCATAATTAGCTCCTTCACATTTTCAGCAAATTCATTACAATGTTT